AAAAGCTATAAATGTCTAAATTTAATACCAAAATTCCCAAGTTCCCAAATTGAAACTTCAACAGTCGAATGAAATAAATACAATAAAGAATATAAAGCAATACAATAGATATGCACAGAATAAATCAGCAAAATAAATTAAAGCATAGGTGATTATAATGAATTAAAAGTATATGTTCATTTTATTTTTTAATATTAATTCATACAAGAGGATACCGCCGTGTCTTCATGTTAGAAAACATAATAAAAGCTTCTTGTAAGTCAATTCACTTGATTCAACGTTAATCACCATCAAATCATTTAATCTATCATCGTTCATACTTAAGCGCAAAAAGCTATTGACTTTTTTTAAAGATTAAAAAACTCTTTCATTAGAAGCAGTAGTACAATGTAATGTTAAAATGATTGAAAGTACTTTAAGAGTTTCAGAAAATGCTGAAGGAAGTTTTGACAAAGAGTTATTAATTGTTGTGATATCAATATCATTATTTTTCTCTAATAATATTTTTGCTGATTGGAATTCAGAAGGAATTTTCATTGCATTTATTTTAAAATAAGCATAATGTGTCAAAAAACAGTTCAGACTACTTGATGTATGATCAAAATATTCTTTGCTTAAAGTATTAAAAATACTAACAATATCAAACAGTTTTTGATTTTTCTCAGAAAACCGGTTATCTATCGTTAGTAGAAATCTGCAAATAAAAATTAAAAACCAACAGTCCAAAATCATACAATTTATAAAATGATAACAATACATTATTAATAACAAAATATTAAATATTAAATAAGTAATAATACGAATTTACGATATCCAAACTTCGAACATGAAGATAATATTATTAGACCGATGTTTGATAACACGATAACAGCTGTTAATGAATTCCATACCCATCTAATGATTTGTGGTTACTAGTAATAATCATATCACGGTTATTTTGTGATTTGAAAGTGATCAATCAATCAATTATCAACTATCATAATACCTATTTACAATTTACATATTAATTTAATTGTAATTATAAAAATTTAATTTTTTTGGGATGTGGCCGAGAGGGCCAAAAATTGCAATTTAGAATTTTAGGCACGCAAATGTATACCCTGCGTACCGCAAATGACGCCCCTGGTTACAACCCACATCAAAATATTAATAGGTAGGTACATATAGTATGTACTATGCATAAGATTGTATAGTTAAAAATGCGGCTTAATTAATTAAAATCTTGAACCGATTATAAAATAGTTGTACTTTTATTTTTCAATAATATTATGTTACTTAAACTTACTTTAATCGGTTTTTCTTTACATATTTTTTTGTCAATCGGTATAATGATTTTTAATTACTTTAAAACTTTCATGTTTCATGAACCTACCAATGTTTTTAATGGTGATTGTTGTTCATCTATATTAATACTTGTTGATGCTGTATAAAAATAAATATATTAAGTAGGTAGGTATTTAAAAAATAATAGATTACATTATCATACTACTTTGAGGTACGGCCCACTTTAGGAATTGATCATGGGATGTCAGTATGTCACTAACTACTGGGTCTGCTTTGAAGATTCTATGTTTTTCATATCCATAATTTTCGACTACTTGAGAAATACTGGGTTAATAATAGTTTCGTTTTATTAAGGTTATATACCCTATAATAGGTATCGATAGTTTCTTTAAATTTGTTCGATTATGATTTATGAAAATCGCATTGCAGATGAAGCTGTTGGACGTTCATAGAATAATAATGAGCCACGAAAATAATTTTCGATCGGTGAATGCGGTCTTAACGTCAAATAATTTTAAACAATATTTTATCTCAGAATGAATTGAGCAAGTTTTAATTGCGACTGGTCCCCCCTTTGACGAGAGGACAAGCAGAGGTGGTCACTAGGTCATTTTATACCTTCAATGCGCAAGCTAAAATATAGGAAACCCCTGATAATTTAGTATAGTTATAATACAAAAGGTAGAATTCTAAGTTAACCATAAATAATAGACGAATCGATATTGATCAAACACCAAGTTAATGATTAGTATTCGGATTAAATCAATCGGGTGACATATTATTATTATATGATACGATTAGGTACGTATTAGATAATATATATTATAAAATATACATACAATTACTTATCTGAAATCGAGAAAAAGTGTCCGAAAAAAATAAAATAAAAAATATAGAAACAATATTCAGTGTCTATATATTGTTGTATAAGCAATCATATACAATGAAATAAAGAACTAGTATTATTAATTTATATTAAATTGTTTTTTAACCGATTGGTTATTGGAAGAATAAAAATCTGAAAGTGGGAGACGGAGTGACCGAGTGGACTAAGGCGTCGGCTGCGACGCAGCCAACCCGAGTTCGATTCCTTGGCCACGGACGGCATTTTTCTTCGGACAAGTCACGGTGTCCGGGGAACAAGTGCCGCCATCCCCCACCCGGGCATGGCAGATACCTACGGGTGCCCAATCAAAAATTCTGCCAAACACAACACACACGTGTAAAAAACCCTACCATTACAAACCCTACTACCTACAATCATAAAACCCCACAATCAGCTAATGGCCATAGTCGCCAGGCTTTAAAGATCAATATGAAAAAAAAAAAATTGAAACACGCAGTAATAACAATTTTGTTTATTTTGTCTTATATTGTGATAGTGCGATATCATCATACAGCATGTGGTTCTGCCAGTGATCCAGAAACTAGTTAAATGGTGAAGTGGCTTAATTAACTCAAGACAATTTTCACCAGTTGAAATAAGTATAAAGTATAATTGTTTATTAAATAAAAACGCAAGTTAAAAGTGTAATCGTACAAGGCGTATGGCACGAATGTAGGTACATAATAGCTACATCTAAAAATGCTGTACTGCAGACATCCTTTTAAGTGGTGATCTCGTTAATCATTTCCTAGACCAGACTATTATAGAAGTGCTAAAATTTGGCCAACGGCCTTTGTCGTTTTCGTAAGTTTGAAAAGTTAGATAGTAATATGCATTAGAGTGGCACTTCGATCATACCTAATATATTATAATATGGGAGAGGCACACTATTTAAAGAACATACGTATTTATTTTATTTCAAAAAAATTATGTTTTAAAGCTAACCTGATATACATCATAACAATTAGTGACAACTAACAATATTATAGGTTTTATAAAATTTTAATTTATTTAATGATTATTAATTGTATGGTTTTAATTTTAACATACTGCACCAGGCCTGTCCCAGACAATGATTTTGATTTTTACTTATCTTCCGTGTTCACAATGGAAACTTAAGAGTAGTCTTAAATTTGTTAAATATTAATACCCAAAATTCCAGAGGCTTTTCAAACAGATCAATACTTATAAATTCATTATAGGCGTACATAGTTTGCATACTATGGTAAGTGTTTACTATACAGTCTTTACTCTTTGAATTATTGCATATTATGTTTTAAAATATATAATTATTAGTTTATACTTTATAGTTATTATTACTTATTAATTATTAATACTTTATATTTTATAATTAATTCGATATTTATTTTAAGCATGCTTAATGGGATATGAGTTTCATGATGAACAATAAGCAATATGCCCTTATGTTATATTTTACAACAAAATTAATATCATCAAATATAATTAAAATATAATACATTTATATTGTATGATGGCAGAGTTTTAAATATTTATGAAAAATCTAAATAGGTATCTAAAAATTACGTGAGGTAAGTAAATTTTAATTAAACATGAAAACTAATAAATGTCAATTAAAATGTTATACATATTTATATTTATGATTATATTTTATTTTAAAAATGTATTCAATAAATATATAATACTATATAGGATGAAAAACGTATTGAATACAAGTTATTGGTTTCAGAGAAAAATTCTTTAGAAGATATTTTGCATCATCTTCAATAAAGAAAGTTATTCTAAGAATTCTCTGTGAAAAATATACTATCATCTTAAATTTTTGTATTAAAATAAGACCAACTAACAAAGGAATTTTTTTAAAGTTTGGATCAATAATTTTTTACTGCTATTAATTAAATATTTGTTTAAATACGTTTATAATTGAAGCTTTCTATAAAAATACTTTCAAAGGGACGGCATTGAAATTAAAAAAAAAAAATATTGTATAAATATTTTCAATATATTATTGTAGCAAAGGGTATGGATAAAAACGTGTGTATTTTTATACAGCAGGATTTAAATTTTGTAAAAAATAAAAGAATTGGGTTGAAAGTAACCAAGACAAATCACACGAAAACGTGATCGTTTCACTTGTAATGTTCTAGACCACATGTCATTCTATACCACTAAACTACAAAACAATGTGGTTTTTATTGCATTTTTTTTTATACTCTTGAGTTTCATTATGTGAGTAACATGACGTTTCATTCTTTTTAGATAAAACGAAAAAAAAGAAAAGAAAAAATATATATCGCGCTCGTTCACCAAAAGTAGGCGTATAAAAGCCATCAACTTTCGGACAGCCATAAGCTTCTTGGGTGTGTTATTAAATTGTTTTTTCCTAGCGTATCTCAATTTATTGTTTTGTTCCGTAGACGAAAAGGAGATGAGGAACAATAAGAAATGATATTTTTTTACGGTCTTCAATAAGGACTGTGATTGTTATACGGCACATTTGGCACAAAACTCACCCCTCCGATAAATAACGGAACATATTTTACGAGTGAAACAAGGCAACGGAATATATACAAAATACGAAGTAAAAAATTGTTTTATTTTTTATTTTACTCTGACAGGTATGCGGTAAACGATATTATTTATAGAGTTTCGAAAATAGCATTATCCTTAGCAGTTTCTTGAAAAAAAAAAAAACAAATAAATAATACTTTCCCATATAAACAGTAATAATAATAATAATAATAATAATAATCGTGGTCCTCTCGCGATTGTGTGATTATAATATAATAAGGACAAAGGTGGCAGGTGTAGAGGTTATATGGTGTAAAATTAGAAAAATATTGGTACTCACAGGTTGTAATGTACGTCAGCCATGTTGGGCCGGTGTTTGAGTGCGGATCGGTATGCCATTTCTGCTTCGTTTGTTCTGCCTTGAGAGCTGAGTATCGAACCGAGATTGCCATAGGCTAAAATTTAATCAAGATTCTAGATGAGAATTAGAGTGAGAGAGAGAGAGAGGGTGTGAAAGAGAAGGAGAAATAGTGACGGTGAAAAAGAGGGGAAAAGAACGGAAACGATCAGTGGAGCCTATTGCGTTTGATTGAATTAAAACGGGCGCGCGCTGCTAGGTCGAAGGGTTGTATAGCCAATGGATTGATAGGTATATGGTTTTTCAGCCTGGAAGACTGAAAGTGGAAAGGGGCGCGAAATTAAAAACAATAAGAAGTTTATTAGACGGAGTACATATTATACAGTGTTCGTCCAACAGAACGTATTTTTTCACGGTACTTACATTGTAAAAACTAAAAAACGGCGTAACGGGAGGTATTTTCATGTATACAATATACCTACATATAATACATGTAAAATATTGTCTAGTTGTCTTACAGTGGGACAGCACACGGTAATATCTCAAAACGTATCCCTATGTATAATACGTAATGTTTTTCGTCTGACAGTGATCATAAATACCATAAACCGCATGGACTTATTTTTCAAACAAACGTATATATAGATAATACATAATTTTATTATTGTACGTAAAACCTGGTTTTACTATTTTATATTATATTATTTTATTCTCTTAACCAGTCTTATAAAGTCATTTAGTAAAAGTATTCAAATAAAGTATTAAGTATTATAATACTTTATAAGCATACCTACCTACCTATAACATTATGCCCTATACTCAAATACTTTTTCGAAGTGTCTTTGTATTTAAAATTAATTTTATTTCTTACTTCGTAAATAACCTCCTTAATATTTTTGTTAAGACATTAAAAAAAAAATGTATTTATTTTAAATATAAATGCTCGTGTAAGTAATATAGTATAATCAATATAAAATAATAAACATTTTCAAAAGGTTCATTATCATGTATACATTGTTTCAAATTTACAGTTGATTATTTTTACTGAGGCACATATCCTCCATTAAAAAGTAGACAGCAGGTAGTATACTAATTACTATAGTCCATCGATTTTATTGTACAATTAAAAATAACTTGAAAGAGAAAAACATAGAATGCTACATATTTTCTAAATGCTCTTTGTCGCGATCTAAATAATTTTTTTTGTATATGACTTATACACAATCCAAGTTTAGGAAAAGGAAAACGGATGGTTAATTTATAGTTACACAATATGGAAACCACCCATATTAAAATATAAAAAAAAGAAACACTCAGTATTCGAATATGACGTATATCAAATACCTACTTTTAAAAAATTATCTTTTATAAGACTGTTCAAGACAATGCATACGAGAATTTAGTCAATATATGTACTGGATGAATATGGTTATTATTGTTATTAAACTTTCAGTCGTGAACGTATTGTGGTATGTATACAGCTGAAACAGCGATTAAACAATAATAACATGTTATCAGACTGTTTTTGTTTTCACACCGAAAACCTAAAAAGCGTACATACACTATAGTACTATACGATCAACGTTCAAGGTTTTTCTATAGAGATAATCTACGTTATTATATTACTTGTTAGTTGGAACGGAGAATAAGTCGTGAGTACAATTTAAGATAAAGAATTTCGGGAAGAAAACTTACTGTTTTAATGAGTTTTTGAAAAGTGTACATTACTGTGTATATTTTATATTGTTTTAGAAGGAAATATATAATTTTACGACGCACTGTATTGTGTATTATGAATTTGAATACGCTTAATGGCTAATTGCAAGTTCTCAAAAACCTATGGTTTTTCGTCGAATAACTTTTCTTCGAGTTGCGTAAAATTACAAAATATGTATAGCTAAATAAATTGTGGTATACGTGTTTTCTCAAAATTTGCGCATTAATTTAAACACATCGGTGTACAATATTTACGCGTACATATAATATACATATATATTATATTAGGTATACGAAAACTGTATATATTGTAGTGGCACACAGTATCAGATGACTGTAATACTTTATAGTTATGACTCAATAGATTAAATACGGTTCCGTTGTAATATCGAAAGTTGTATAGTTTCAGCTTTTAAGTCCTCTGGAAATATGTCATTAAACTTTTGGAAAACAATAGTACCTAATCCGAACGTTTCTAATTTGATAAAAACACCGTGAAATGCGCGTTATCTAAATAAAAATATATATCGTCTGACTGCGACAGAAATAGGAGTTTGATGAAATAAATTTGTATACGACTTAGTATATAGAAACATACTAACATGTTCAGTGGGGCCCATTATCTTCTTGAAGAATAAATAAAAAAAAAAATAAAATAAAATATTAGGTACAGTTATATTATATTGTTGTTACCTGCAGCAGGTACGTACAATACAGATTTCGAAACCTTTGAGACGAAAATTCTATACCAGCTATATTATATGGATAGGTAAAGGACGGTATGTGAGCGGTTTATGGCTATTTGGACTCGTAGGGATAATAAAACACAGGGTTATTATTCAAAACGAATCATCCTATCCGCTCGGCCCCTGGCTTCCTAGGTCATGTTCCTGGCATCTTAAGCCAATTGATTATTTATTTTGGGACATGTTAAAGGTACGTACAACCTACGTACTAACTAAAAAATTAACGGAGTCAATGGAAAGACTTTGAGTGTACCTTTTAATAAATTTGAAATATTTTTCTTTCAATTAGGTAGGCGTAATGTATCGCGTATTATATTACTCTAAACCCAAAAACTAAAAATATAAAAGCTTCTGAAATCGAATGAATCATTTTGAATAACCGTGTTTATGATTGAATGCGAAAACTATTCGAGAATGTACACTCACATTTTGGGGGGTTGACTTGGATGCCAGACCGGTAGAGGGACTCTTCGTCGTGCCAGTCGCGGTTCCTGAGAACGGTCCGCAGACCGTATGTGGCCACCGTCACTGCGTACAGGGCGTACACGATGGCCGACCGGCGTCCACTGGTGGCCTTGGCGAGCGCAGCGGCCGAGCAGCCGACCAGCAAGCAGTAACCGACGCTCGGTATGTATAGCACTCGCTCGGCCACCACGAAACCGACGTAGAACAGTGCGTTGGACGCCGGCACGTAGGAGGCGACAGACACGGCGGCGGCCACGGCCACAGCTGTCCGTTTTCGCCGGACGGAAGCGCGGGCGACGGCCGCCAGAGCCGCGTAGAACAGCACGGTGGCCACGTTTCGCGGGTCGGCCACCGACTCGATCCGGGGCACGGCGTCCATTGACCAGTCGTAGCTGAGCACTTGTGGCCACACCAGCAGCCGGGCGCTGACCACGGGCAGGTGCAAGAACGTCAGCGCCCTGACAGTCGGGTCCGGGTGCTTGGCCGCAGGGTTGTCTGACGCCGCGAACGACGGCACCGAGCCCGACATGACGCACAGCCGACCGGCCACCATCGCCGTAGTGCTGGTCACCAGAACTTTCAGCGTTCTCTTGTAGTCCTGGTCCGCAGTAATCTGCAACAATCCAATGAGAAAAAACGCGTTATTATAGTGTTGTATGAAAAAAATATGATAATATTTTCTGATATGCTGGTCAAGTACCTAATGGTAAGTCTAAGTAAGTTAGGTATGAATAGAAAATATAGTACCTAACAATTTTTTAAAATACAAAAATAAATATTATCACAGCTTTTTTTTAAGTATTTTATAATAGGTATAAAATTAAAAGTATTATTTCTACGGAATTTACAGTTTACCGTTTATGCTTCTAGCTTTTTAGATATTATATGATTATACCCACACTAATACACAATATACAAAATTAGATTAAACCATATAATATTATGATGATACTCTTTATAATGATTACAGTGACATCAGACATTTTAAAAATGTTTATCAACGTGCATCGATAACATTTCGTATCACTTTTTTGATGAGTATGATTATTATATTATTTATGCATGCCATTATAGGATTAAACCATTATAATTATTATCACGGTAATTGATTTGATGTTTATTCGAAATACCAACAACATTACATGCTAGTAGACTAATCGGTAATAAACAATATTACAAAATACATAATCTGCTTAAATTGAACACCATCCCTATTGCAGTACCTATTATATATTTACAAATAAAATTTATTTATCGCAACAACCACACAAATATTAATATATTTAAATAATGTGTCATCATATAAATATAAATTAACAGATTTCCACAATATTTCAATACCGAACCAATTAAGTTTGGATTGTAGAGTGTACAATATTATTAACTCAATCGTTTCACTAAAAACCGTTTAAAATGGGAAAACAATAAAAATAAAACGTTCAATGCCATAAATCATAATAGTATAAACCTAAATATATACATATTTACGCGTAGGTGGTAAATAATAATATACCATTATACATGTATAACTGTCATTTTTGACATAGAGCTCCTATTATCATACCATTTAAATATTGCACGTGTCGATCTGTATACCCAGTATAACTATAGAAATATAATTTTATTTCAATGAATGAATTATTATTATTATTATTATTACATATACAATATTATTCAATTTGTTATTAATATATTTTAATGTCCTACGAACAGTTATAAATTCAAAATATTTTGCGTTTGGCTCTGAATGACAACAGCTTAATAAGATCAACTTAATATTGCGATATTGTTGAAAGGAAATGAAAACATGCGGGAAATGAAAGTAAAAATTTAAATTACCTAGGTAGGTATATGTAATATGTGTGCATTTTTGTATAATAAAGGCTTTCAACAATATGATATAATGTTATAAAATATTTCAAAGCATTTGTTGACGATAGCGAATGAATAGTTATCGTTTTAAAAGGTTGACACATTTCGGAACATGAAGCAGAAAATATTTAGTAGCAAGACATCGAAATTAAAGATGTTTTAATTAAGATAAAATCTTAGTACCTGTATATATAACAGGGCTACCCCATCTAGCTATAATACCCGTGGATAGAACGAAATGTGTTTGTATCTTGTTTTGAACTCTTGTTCTCAAAACTTTGTAAGGTCTCCATATATATATATATATATATATATATATATAGATGAAAGAATAGTATATAATAGGTATACATACACACGCACTAACACACCCAAACATATACAAAATGTATTTAGACAAACTATTGCACGAGCGAATAAATCATTTAAATGATTTGTTTGACAATAATGGTTCGTCGAACATCAATAGAGTAAGTTATGTCAGTGGAAGGGGGGAGTTAAACTTTATATAAAGTTTCAGTGCCAGTGCTTAGCAAGCAAGCTAAACAGGTATAGAGAAAATTTAACAATACACATATTGTTCCTTATATTTATACAAAAAAACACTCGCATGGTGACAAACGATAAAATTTGAGATCACACAATATGATAAGTCTTAATAATTTATATCTATACATAATAGAACATTATCGTCAAAATTATTAATCTTCAACAAAATGTATCATAAAATAAATAATAGACGGTATAGTATTTAATATTAGTACAACACTTGTATAGTGCATATAACATACGAAGGTACTCGACTGCTCATTTGTTCCATCTCGTCTGTTGGCGCAATATAATTACGTGTATGTATTATATGGTATATACATAATAATATGCTTATCGACTTCTTTCGTGTTCGGCAATTATATATTGATATATGACTTACGAGTAGAAAATTATATATGAAAAAAACTCGAGTAACCGAAAGAGAGACGGAAGAGAGGGTGTGTGTGTGTGAGAGAGAGAGAGAGTGAGAATAAGAGCAGCTCTTATTATATATATATATATATTATTATCCTAATAGGAGGTGCTCATCGTCGAGTGCATTTCTAGCTATAATGTCCATTAAGGACTACGTCGTCTTTTGCAGTGCGGTGATGACTAATGGCGCGCCTTTTATCAGCACTTGCGGTCGTCTTTATGACGTATCACCGTAATGCGTTTTACTGGATTGTCAGCTTGAACTGAGTGAAAACACACACACGCGGTCGATCATACGAGATTCCCCAAAAAAAGTTTCAATTCAATATGTGGCTTTCCGAAATTCGGTGGTTTATAGTTCACATGATAGTTTATAAATGTATAACACACAGATATATATATAAAACATATAAACGAATATAAGTCCACATATCAAAATAATGATTAGTAAAAAAATTCCTCAGAATGGTTGGAGAAATGAGTTAATAAACGACACGCATTATACATAAAATATGTATAATATTATGAGTCTGTGAAATATAGTATAATAGTATATTATACATAATATAGATAACAATAAAACGTAGGTAGGTATTATAATTTTTATTATCATTATATCGTAAAAAAAAAAAAAGTCACTTGTAATTTTATATCCGTTGATATTATAACATGTTTGTATTGAGTAATAATATAATGAATACGTTTTTATGTATATTTTAAAAGTGTAATTTGTATTTTGTATATACGTATAATATATTGTAATGATATAATGTGAAAATTGTGAAGTGTTTTCCCACTACGTTCTCGTTATAAACTTTTATACGATCCAAACGTATTTGTTGATTTGGATTATTTTTGAAATACGCTCCAAAGTTTTAAACAATGATAATATTATGTGTATGTGTGAGTGGGTGGTATACTGCAGTATGAAAAAAATAAACAATATAATAATACCGATATTTCAACTATAATAATATAGTCGCTGCAATTGTATTCGCGCACTAGAAGTCCAATAGCATATATATATATTATATATAATACTATAGAAATCGTTGTACACGTCAAAAGCAGCTTTATCACATAATATATATGTCGTGAAATACGATAAAATATCTTCTTACCCCGGTCAATGTCAGCAATGTAATAATATAAAAAAACACTCATGGTTATACTTAGTCATTCGACCGTATACGCTGGACCGACCCCACTTTAAATTTCATCTCTCAGAACTGCCAAGTTAACGTAGAATCTAGGCCTTCGTTAAAAAAAAAATGTAGATAGCTCGCAGAACATATGGTCGCGTACTTCTATTAATCACCAATTAAAATCGAACTGTCTTTGAATAAATCATAAAGTAATTACTAATTTCCAATACATATATTATGTACACGACACATTACACACATAGGCTGTCTTCAAACGCAATGGTTATAATATGTCACACGTGAGGACATAAAACTGCTGTATAATATTATAAGGTTTGGAAATTATCATATAAACATTTATTACATGGTAGCGAAAACTGTATATTATTTTGTCTCGACGTTTTGTACGGTGTTTTTCTCGTTTATTTGTGTCGCCCCGATCAGGACGAAGTGTCAAACCTACTCTTGCGGCCTTCATCTGATATATTATTATAGACCTATAATTACAGAGGCATACTATTATATTAGTAAACATAATATATTATAATATGTTACGATGACGGTATAATATTGTTATATATTTTAATCGAAACATCAAAAGGGACCATCCGTATATATTGTAAACATTATATAACGCATATCATAAGCGTCCGGGTTAAGTGCAAGTACGTGTTTGCATTTATTATGGTTCTAGTGCAATATTATGTGCATAATGTCCTATATATTATATGTTGATGGATACATATGTATTATGTACGTATCTATTTGTCTACATGGCGATATTTAATGTACCTTTATAATACGGAAATATTTTAATATAATGCATAGATGTTGTTATAGCATTACTAACTACTATATATTATTGTATACTTACTAACTACATATAGAATTCCACATATTATATATTGTATATTATATATTTACACACATTTATGGAGATACAAGATATCGACTAAATTGTTTATTGTGCAGTGATGAGAATAATCTACATAATCTATATATATTATATATTCTCGTTTATGCATACAATTTAGTTTCGAAAGGGTTTAGTTGAAGTTTTTTTGTCTTCTATTTATTATGGGAATTACATCGAGCTTAATCGAAAAAGTTAAAATTGATTTCGATACCATTATTATTATTATTATTCTTATAACAAGAAAAACCCAGCAGTTTATTATATGGTAATCATAAATATCGAAAAATTAGACAAAATACACGAGGATCCACGATCGATATCTAAAAGAAAATCCAACGTAACATTTTCCATCTGTTTAGCTGAACGTACACAGAAAATATTAATAAACCCATAGGTATTACCATGTACAGACATATATTATATTATATACACAATAACTATATAATATCACACTCAACACCCACCTTCATATTAATAATATGCAATACGTTTTTCAACTTTGCTTTTCGATAAAATCTCTCATTTTAGATATGAAATGAAAAAAAGTCCATTCAAAATAGGCAATGATAAAATATTTTTTTTATAACTGAAACTCTAAATATTATATAGTGTTATATGCCATCTAATAATAAAAACCATATTACGGCTTCCGTAAAATTCTTTAGTTACTTTTGGTACCTACGCAAAATAACGGTAATATTGATATTTTTTTTT